TTTTACCAAAACTAATATTTGACTTTTTTAAATGTGTGTGCGTGTAAAACAATAAAATTTGCACAAAGAATTTTATTTTTTTCCTGAAGAACTTGTTGCTCCACGCCGCTTAGAGCATCATTGTGGATGTTTTACACTATAACTAACGATGGATCTGCGACAGTTATGGTTTTGGGAAACACTCGTCACCACATTGTTCTTTTCCCAAATGATGCATAGTACTAGCATAGTTCTGCTTCGAGTTCTGTTGTTGTTTGAGAAACGCACCCTTGGTTGACTATTGACTAGTCGATTATTAGGTGGAGCACACACCCATACATGCATACAATACAAAAAACATTTTGCGAATGTTAAAGCGGATATTGTCATATAATTCTGTTTTTGGCTAACATCCCAAAGCAAAGCTTAGTTCATTGTAATAATACATTCCTCTCTCAACGAGAGATCTGAACCAGTCTGACTTGTTAAATTCAACCGCCATCCCATCCATGATGAAATCTGCTGTGGCTTGAAACAAAGCAGACTACATGTTTCCTTTTGCAATTGTAGCTAGACCTACAACAAAGCATTCCACTTAGTCTTCTGCTTTTCCAGTAAACCAGCTGCCCTTTGTTTATAATGTGGGTCTATAGATCTCTCTATATGTAATCTAATCTTGGTCAGTGTATTGTGTCCTGTCTCGGAGGCTCCAGGAAATGCATTAATGTTAATGCATCCCGTTTGCAGCTAATAAGTCAGATGGACAGACAGACAGGTGACACCCAGAAATGATTAAACCCGGCCGAAGCGATAGATCAATTTGCATTAGCGTGAAAGTGAGAAGTGGAGCTGGAGAAAGAGATGGAAATGGTGGGTGTAAGGTCAGATGTGACTCACCGTGGTAATATGAAGTGTAAAAACGCAGATCCAGCCCTGTGGCTCTGTAGTATTCCAGATCTGGGTTAAAGACGTCTAAAGGTTGTCTTACTTTTACGGTGGAAACCATGTGTGGATTTCTTTCGTGTTACTAAGCATAATGATGTAACCTTTTTAGAAGTCAAAACATGTTAGGCAAGGGTAAAAATGCTAACTGCTAATGCTAAGTCACGTTAGCATTATATTAAAACATGCAACATGCTATTTTATGCTAGTAACATGAAAAAAGTGTACATGCTAATTCATTCAGAATTAGCCACTTAATCAAAGTTACGAATTGCCATGAGATTGCGTTGTTTTATTCTTATTCTTGACACCTAAAAATAATAAGTCAAGAAAACTAATAGTGACTTTTTTTATTTGACGATTCTGGTATTCTTGCAATTTCTTGATTTTTTGTAAGACACAACATGTTAGCCAAGAGTGAAAATGCTAACTTCTAATGCTAATTTACATTAGCATCATATTAAAACATGCTTGCAACATGCTATTTTTGCTAGCAACATTAAAAAAAGTGTACATGCTAATTCATTCAAGCAATAGGTGTAGATTTCTGTGTGACAAAAGCATAATAATGGTGCTGAAAAAAGGATCTTATATGCTATATTATTATTTGTTTTCCTTTGCGTTTAATGTTAAAGTACACTGTTTATTCTTCTTCTTGAAACCTTAAAATGCTTAGTCAAGAAAGCTAATTGTGACTTTTATTGAAATTTTCTAATTTTCTTGCAATTTCGTGGATTTTGTAAGTCAAAACATGTTAGCTACGGGTAAAAATGCTAACTGCTAATGTTAATTCACGTTAACTTTGTGTTAAACATGCTCACAACATGCTATTTTACGCTGCCAGCATTAAAAACAATACATGCCAATTCATTCTAGTAATATGTGTAGATTCTGTGTGACGAGCATAATCATGGTGCTAAAAAAGAATCTTATATGTCATATTATTTGTTTTCTTTGCGTTTAATGTTGTAGTACACTGATTCTTGTTCTTGACGCCTAAAAATAATAAGCCAAGACAGGTAATTTTGACTTTTTTTTTTTTTTTTTTTACATTTTGTGTCTTCTGATTTTCTTGCAATTTTTTGGGTTTTTGTAGGTCAAAACATGTTAGCCAAGGGTCAAAATGCTAACTGCTAATGCTAATTCACATTAACTTCATGTTAAAACATGCTCGCAACATGCTATATTATGCTAGCAAAATTAAACGATGTATGTCCTAATTCATTCTAGCTATATTGTAAACTTATTATTTTTTTGTTTATGTATTAAGTAACTAAAATAAAACTATAAAGACATGAAAACATAAATGCACGACAAAATAAAAAAACTATATTATATTAATAATTAAAGATAAAAACTACAATAACATCTAATGTTGTTGTTGTTGTTGTTATATTTAATAATAATTGTGATGACAGCAGTTTTTGTTCAAAGAGATATTGGTTTTATTGTTTAGGTTTTCCTTCAAAACAAGTTAATGCCATGATCCCTTTTTTATTTTTTTGTCCAACAAAACTTGTTTATCTTAAAGCTCTGAATATTAAATAACAAAAATAAAATCACATTTTTATTCGATATA